GTAACATTCCCTACTTCTCCAATTGGCACCTTATTCTTGAAATGTCTCCTACTCTCTTTCCAGCAGAATGCTTTTTTTTGAGCTCTGACGGCAGTTTGTGGCTATCCTGCTTATATAATAACTTAATAGTACATTTCATTATAGTTACATGTGCATGCAACTATCTCCTTTACCAGAAGGACAGTTTTTTGAGGTCAGGACCATGCCTTATTCATCTTTATAACCCCAGTTCCTGGAACATACTAGACCTCAGTAAATACTGAATGAGTGCCTTTATGAATGTTAGGGGTGTCATTTTGCAGACTTTATTTTTCTGTTGTTCGTGGTCTTCATTATATGTACCCTATTCATTAATGCAGATAATCAAGAATTAAACATTTGTTTTATCATACAATTTGGTTATTTGTTGCTACATAATAAACTATGCCAAAGCGTATCGGCTCATAAAGCAATCATTTCATTTGCTTGCTATTCTGAGGATTGACTAGGGCTCTGTTGGCCATTTCTCCTGATTTTGTTGGCAACACTCATGTAATTGCAGCCAGATGGCAGCTGAGACTGGAAAGGTCAGGATAGAATGTTCACTTACCTGTTTGGAGCTTTAGTGGTAGCACGACTCAGTTGAAATTTTGTCGTGGCTGGTCCTGGATGCCAGTCTTTCTCGTCCTCCCTCTTTCTATTCCTCCCACCCTTCCCACTCTTCTCCCTCTTCCACTTACTCTCTCCAGAAAGATAGACATACTTCTTATATGGTGACTCAGAACCCCCAAAAGTGAAAAACAGAAGTTGCCAGGTCTTCTTAAGGCTGAGGCCGGGAACCGGCAGAGCATCAGTTTCACTCTATAGCTATGCACATATGACTGCGTTGCTAGTCACAGGCCCAGCCTGTTTTCGAGAGGAGAGAACTATACAAGGATATAAGTACTAGGAGACATGGTTTGTGGGTCTTTGGAGGCCACTAATGTAACAGACTATTAAATCATATAATAAAGATTTTCTTTTTGAAAATTTTCATGTAAGCATTAAAAAAATAGCCTAACCATAAGAGAAATAAGAAAGAAATGTAGCAGCACTCAGGAGTCTGTACGTGACTCAGACAATACAAATTTTCTGTCACTTTACTAGTTCTCCAATGCGGGCAAGTTCATCTCTTTGACTTATATGTTACTCATCTACAAATGCTCTCTTCATTGGGTTGTGGTAGAATTTAAATGAGACCATGGATGTAAGTATCTGGCACAAAGCAGGTGTTCAGTAGATGATAGCCGTTACTATATTGTTATTGCTATCATTGTTATTATTTTTAATGATTAATGTCTTGGTGTCAGTGCAAAGACAAATAGCTAAGGCAATACATTTCATTTGAACTGAGAAGAAACATTCTGATTAGCTTCTTCAGTTTCAGTTGACTATTTTATCTTTGACTTTTATTTTTGATCATTATGTTCTTATTAACTAATAGTATTTTTGAAGCCTGTGTCTAATTTTAAAATAGTTATAGTTTCTTATTAGTAAAACAATTGAGAAAATAAATTCTTAAACTAAACTTGAAAGATAATTCTTTTCTTTTATAAAATCATGAAAATGCATGTTCTAGAAAAAAGAGGAGATTCCAGTTACTTAATTTCCTGAATTACACATTCTGTTCTGTTTTTTACTTTGATATAGCCACTATATATTGCCACTTAAGACCAGAGATGTCTTAAATCAGATTCTGCATAGGTTTTATGAATTATTAGTAGCTAAACTCTAGAGGAAAATGTATAAGTGACTGTTGTCTTAGAGGGCTGTGAAGTGTATATTTACTAGGCTTTTGCATGGTTTAGTATTGACTTATAAACTTGATGGCTTTTTGGCATTTTGTAAACTCATCCCTATATTAAAACTTTAAAGATACAGTTGCTTTGGGATTAGATTCAACTGCAGTGGAAACTTCGTAAATAAATTTTAATGGATTTTATAGTAGAGGTTTTGGTGGAAAATTGGTTCATAGTATTATTAATCAATATGAACAGTGTATATTACAGTTTCCTTTTTGAGGCTTTCAGTTGTGATCATTTCTATTCTTAAATCTGCTTTGTTACAAACCATCACAGTTGTTTTGCCCTAGACTGGCTAGGTGGCATTTGGGGCTGACTGGTTGACTATGAAAGGATTCTTCTTGCAAAGACAAGAAATACATGTTACTGCAGGAAGTGACTCAGTCAATACATAATTTATAGGTTTACCTGGGAACTCTTTCAAATTGGATCTGTAAGTACTAAACAGCTTGGTGCAGTAAAAAGACCATGGTCCTTGGACTCTAACTATTTCTGGCACTGGAAAGCCTTGGGGGAAGTTATTTTACTTCTTCAGGCTTCACTTTCTTCAACATAAACAATAAAGACTGACCTGTCAGAGTTATTATGAAGGTTTAATGAGGTAACGGTGAACACATTGGACCATCGTACCACATCAAATAGGAACAAATTTACTCAGTAGTAAATTACCCATTTTTAAAATTTTCATAAAGCCAAGGAAATGAACTTGATTAGTTACATGATTGTATTAAAGGTGATTGAGGCTTTAAATTATGAATGGTTTCCAGGAGAAAAAAATAATACCAAGGTAGTACCAAGTTTGAAACAGTGGTTGGGATTCTACGAACAAAAGGGATCATATTTACAGGAGGTGGATTTGAAAATGGATTCTCCCTGGCCCTCTCACTGCTTTGTGTTTAAATACTTCCTTTTTTTTTTTTTTTTACCCCCAAGGTTCTGAAACAAAAATAAAACATAGCCAGGCCCTGCAAAAGCTGAAGGAGCTTTTGAATTCTTTCTAAAGAGGAAATTGACTTTACCTAACCAATGAACTTCCTGTGTGTGCCGTATCCGTTAAAAAGTGAGACAGGACCTCACTGGTAATAGTGCTCAGCTGCAGAATTTCCTCTTGGTGGTGAGGGTGCGAACTGTATCACAGTGCTCCGACATGTTGTCTTCATTTATTCTGGTATCTGTAAGGTCTATCTGAGTCACCTAGGGATTTTGTTAAAAATGCAGGTGCTGAGTCAGTAGTTCTGGGTAAGGCCTGAGATTTTCTGCATTTCTAACAATATTCAGGTAATATATCAAAATCATAAGACATTCTCTCTCTGGCTCTTTTAAAAGCACATGTGATTAACTTCATTTTTCTAGGTGCTAGTATGTTAGGGCCTGATCCTCAAGGATCCCACAGTTAAGTGATGAACCAAATCAAGTACATTTAGAATATGGCCTTTTTTAAAAAAAGAAAAAAACTTTGACTTGGGTTTATTTTATAGATGTTCTCTAGTGACTTTAAAGAGGTCAGTTAACAATCAAATTAGGCTTTCTTCTTCATGATTTAAGGAATTCTTTTACTTACTGCACACATACCATTCATTGTAACTTACATTAATGTCAAAAGGAGAAGAAAATTGTTTCCATGATCTGCCCACCCCAGCCAATGAAACTGGTCCTTTTTTGTATTTCTTTGTTGTTCCTAGACATGGGCATCTTTTATTTTTATGTGGTTGTGAACATTTCTGTAAAACAATTTTGTATTCTGCTTTTCAAATTTAGCATTAGGAATGAAATAGAAAGTTTCCAAATTTCTCTATTAACTGTTGAAATATTGTGCTTTATTAATATTTTGATATTATTATTTCTTGGTGGATTTTTCTTAGACTTCAAATGCTTTTCCTAAGAAAAAGTTAGCAAAAGGAGGTAGGGCAGTAAACATAACATGTCATATGAAACTAATATGATAGCATGTGCAAAGTAAAATATGTGTTTGCTTTAATTCAACTGAGTGGCTTATAGGTAGAATTTCCCTGTTACTTAACAGAAAATGAATTGTGCGTTATCTGTATTCTTTAAAAAAAAATCTGGTGTCTGTATAGACAATGGATCTGTTTTCAAAATATGTGTACGGTGTAAAGATTTACCTGTCATATCTCTTAGAGTGGCAGTTCTTAATCTGGCTCTGTGGACCTAGGGCAGTGTTTCTCTAAGTAAGGGCTACAGAAAAGCAATAACTTGTGAAAAGCAATAACTCTGTCCACACACTCCTCAAGTCTCTTCTC